TAAAAACAAACGGCCCTACTGACTGTCTGGATTAAGATACACTCACATCCGTTTGATTTGATCTAGTGAAACCAAGATAGCTAAAGACCACCGCTTGTTTTATGACAACCGATACCTGACGACTATCTTGGTTGGATACAACCTTAATACGGCACACTATAAAATGCATGTTATTGCTAAGGGGCAATACAGGCGGCAAAATTCAAGTAAATAAAAGCTACGTCTAAAAACTTAACCACTGAAATAATTTGTTTAAACAAACTGATGAGGCCGATGGCCGGATGATGAGGCCAATGGCCGGATAATATTAAATGATTACTCATCTGTTCCAACATGGGTAGTCATCCGGCAACGCCCATCCGGCTGAATTCACAGCCGTTTGACCTAAGTAATCTAAAAGGGAACCTAAAACGGCATAAACAAAACCGCATGTCTCGTTGACACCAGTCGGTAACCGGCCGTCATTCCCACTTAGATTATTACCCCACACAAATTTCGAAACTCAGAAAGTCCTCCAAATGGGGCAAAAGTATGCTCGAGTATATTTATGAACAATCCCAAAAGGCAAAAGAGAAACGTCTGGGTGTTCAATTAAAAATCGCCTGTATAGTGAACGGTCGTGTACTTGGTTTGGGGCAATCACGGTAGTGATTGATTGACCAAGGAACCCTTCATACTCTCTAAAGTATCCAGGCTCCCCCGGTCAATCAATCTACCTTAAACCTACCACACAGCCGTCCAGGGGCAAGAGGCAGCCGGTTCGTTAAGTGTCGTGTGCCATTAATAAGTTGCTAAGATTGCAAGCGTATACATATAGCAAAAATAATTTTTTTTGTTAAAAATCAACCCAGTTGGTTATTTCATTCAAAGCCCCAGGCATAAAATGACGGGAGAAGAAGACTGTCATACTGGATCCTCACCCGAAAAAATAAAAGATTGTTGTTGGAATTACATTGAAATACACGGCACGCAGGCCGGAAACAAAGACAGAAGCTTAATTTTGTTGTCGCTGAGGTGGAGGCACTGACTGATCCTGGCCAGATGGGAGCTCGCCTTCAGGTTGTCCTGGTTAAACTTGGTCAACCAGCACTTGCTCTTCCTCTTGCCCATTGAGCTCCTCATCCTCATGTTCTTCATCAGACGCCTCGATATTGGCCCATTCTTTAAACGGAGCCGGCGCCTCAAGGCCTAGGGATTGGGCATCGTATACCTCAGAGGCATACTTGAACCTTAAGTTGAAGAACTCCCAGTCGTAGTCGAGATGGATGAGATTCCACGCTATTTTCATGCGAGCTTTGCAATCTCGTTCATTCTCATCCACTAGCCGCTCTTGCTCAGCCGCCAGCTCAGCCTTATGGTCAGTCTGCACCTGGACCAACTCATCCTTCAGCCGGGAGACGTCTGCCCGAAGCTGGGTATTCTCTTTGTCAGCATCCTCCAGTGCCTTAAGATCTAACTGAGCATTTTTAAGCTGAAGCTGAAGGTGAGACGCCTTATTATTTGCCGTCTCCACAGTAGCCATAAGCTCCTTAACCAGCTCCTCTTGTTTTATCTCTTTGGCTTTAGTCTCAATATCGTTCATAGTACATCGATATTGAGCAACATCAAGGGCATCAGCCGCCCATTTATTGGCGTCTCTTACCTCCTCTTGCTTCTTTTTAAATGGGGATTTGAGCCCTTCCACTCTAAGCATTACCTGCTAAGCTCAGCCGGCAAAAAGTTAATTTAGTTCAGATAACACAGCCGGCAAGTTACCTCGACTAGCAAGGCATTGATGCGGTCCATGTTGACCTGATGCACCCCCGGGATCGAGTCCTTTTCTGACCGGGTGAGGCACTTTAGCATCCGCCTAGAATATTGCTGGAGGTCAGACCACCTTGGAGAGGAATCTGCACCAATAGATTGATATGGTGAGATAACAGCATAGGCGTCACCTATATTGTGCCGGCTGCTAGAGGAATCTCCTGATTGGGTAACCTGAGATTTGACTCGCATAAGCCCAAGAGGCCATGGGGGATTAAAGCTGTAAGTCATACCTTATGGTTCTGACTGAGGGGTCACCCCACCCCCAGTTGCTGTAGAACCGGATGTAGCATCGAGTGGCATGCCACCCTTCGGCGTCTCAGTGACGCTCGACTCTTTGCCAGCCGGCTTAGTACTTAGACCAAGATCCTTCAGGATTTTGCCTGCAGAAGTTGGTCTGCCCTGAACAGGCGGCCTTGATGATGTCATCTAGGCAGGCGGGGCTTTCCTTGCTTTGGAGGGAGCTCTAGAAGGTTCATCAGTATTCCGTTTGAGCATCTTTGAGATAGATCGTGGAACGTTCTTACTTCCACCCTGAAAGTTAAACACAAGATACACAGCCAGTTAAAAGCCGTTTGATGACAATAAATGTTTACAAGTTAAAGGACACAATTGGAGCTCACCCCATCATCCTTGGACGCCAGTTGGGCCCTTTTCTTTTCAAGTTGATCCTTCCGGATTTGGGCTGCTGACCTGGCAGACGTCTTTGTAGAGTTAACCATCTCTAGACCTTTTTCTGCAAAAGGAAAACCGGTTGGTTAAATACAAAACAAATCACAGGATCATAGAGGCGGCACTAAAGTGCCAGTTAAGTGGTCTACGTACGTCTATCAAAAAAGGTACTAATACCACAGGCGGAGAGGAAAGCCTTATCCTTGAGCCAATCCGGATGGGGTACCCAGTTCTTGGGTACAATGATTTCAGTTCCATCATCCAGAGGCATGGTGGTCCTTTTGAAAAACTTCGGCTCTATTATTTGTGCCCAAGCCTCCTCAAGGATACGTGGTAGGGCACACTTTTTCTCCAAGAGAGCCGGCTCCTTATTGTACTGGTGGAGAAGACGGTTTAGACATCTGGATGGGGAGTAAACTAAGTAGAACTTACTTTTCCAATTGCTTCACTTAAATGGTTTATCTAGCGTCATCATATACTCCGGATGCGTGGTTAAAGTGTACCACGCCTTGTAGCCGCCTGGGGCACGGTTTAAGTAGTGTATATGTGCAAACGCCTCCCAGCTGGGCGTTATGTCCTGCATCTTGCAGGCGGCGATATAGCTAATGATGTTCACCCAGGAATTGGGTGTGAGTTGCCATACGCCAAGATTATAGCCTCTTAAAATGACTTTGATTGCGTTGTGAAGGGGGAACCAGAGGGCGGCTTTGAATGCCGCCTCATAACAGCCGAAATAATTGTCAACATGTTCAATATTGTCATCCTAGACGACTGTCGCCTCAGTAGGCGGTACAATTATTTCCCACCTATCCCCCACTGGGAATTTCTCTACAAAGGCGAGGAAACTTGCTATAAGGGTGGCTATATCCCTGGCGGACATATGTGCTTCAGTTGGGTTAGTTATAGACGACCACTTGTACGCCTCATCCTCCTCACTGACGACATCCGCCTGCTGTGAGGTCGACTCCTCTGAGTCAGATCGTTGGACGGTCTCAGCGCCGCCTCCTTGATCAGAGTCGTCCAAAATGTCATCACTCGGAGTGCTGGGTGCACCCGGAGGATAGTCAAATTCTCTGTCAACCGGCGCCTCAGCTGAGCCGTTTGATGTATAATCTGGGTCAAATGTCGTCTACTTCGTCCGAGCCATATTGTCCAGCACATGCATAGAAACGGTCGGATTCGAGGAAGAGCAAGGGTGGTCCAAACACCCCCAGGCGGCACCCCCAGTCCTAGGCTCAGCCGTACCAGGAGACCTGATGACTATTGTCCAAGACTGTGCTGTGTGTGTTGTTGGTGAATCCATTATTCAATGCAATATATGCAGACTGTAAAAAGCTTGAAAAAGTTGCAAGGGGAGAGACGCTACCTCAAAGATATTTCTGAAAGTGAGGTTAAGTGTTGACCGGCTGTAACAGGCAGGCGGAAATCAAGCAGTTGCTTGTGAGATGCACAGATAGTTGACCGGATGTACCCACTTGGAAAGTAAGAGAATTCTGGAAGGTACTAAGGCAGTTCAAATGTTCTCTTGTTTGTGAGATGCACAGACGGTAGACCGGCTGTATCTAATTGAAAAAGAAGAGGCAATTGTCTGGAATGTACCCAGGCGGTTCAGATGTTTTCTTGTTTGTGAGGTACACAGACGGTATATCGGCTATGTCAAGCGGAAATAGCAGGAAATTTTGTGAAGGCAAATGCAGTCGGAAATAGGGTCTCTCTCTCTTAAATCCTCTTTCTCTCTTTCAGACTTTTTCAGATAGGTTCCAAAATGAGGGGGAGAGGAGGAGGGACCTTACTTATAGAGAGGTTGGAAATAGGGGCAACTCCCTAACTTCCCCATAAGGTGAATAGTTAAAGACCATTCACCTGTTTGCATGCGACACCTGTCACAGGCGCCACGACACCCCTGTGAGGGGCAAATGATTTGGGTAAAATACCCATGTCACGTGGCCCAATCAGAGTGGGGCACGTGTTAGTCCATGACAGGTCCAATAAAGGCTACTCACCAGTTGACATGTGGCACTCGAAGTCAGCACGGAAACAACGGCCTTCAAGGCCCAATTCCCGAGACAACCCATCATTCCTAGGTTTCCATAACCTAGGGTAGTGGCACGAATCCCAAGACCCTATAAAAGGGAGATGTATCCCACCTAGGGAACAAAAAAACAATCAGAGAGAGAGATTTTACTCAAAAAACGAGGGAGTCAATTATTGCTAGATAATTAATTCTCACCGCAGAGAAACTTGATCTCGGAATACGAGAGGATCCCACCTTACTTCCACACTTTTTACATCTTCCGAACACGTTATAACTTGATCGTCGGAGGCGGAACTCTACCCAATCAGAGTCTCTGTTGTTTTGCAGGTATAGGCGCCTAGAATCCAATTTTGGTGTTGTAACTCTCCGAGGAACCCAAAAAAACCTCGAAACACTAATGAATAATGAGAAGTGAGAACTTACCGGAACCGCTGAATTAAGATGAAATGAGCGGGTGAGATTTAACTCACACAATTTCAATGTTCTTGTATTCAACACCTTTCTCTCTCTAGTTTCTGAAAAGTTGATAGTTTCTCTCTAATTCTCAACAAAAAAAAACGACGTTCAATGTCTTCTCTTCCTCAATTTTCTTCTAATTCTATCAAATCTATCCGTAAATTAGGTATAATTTTTCTTTGTTTAGCTATAATCATACTTGAATTATTCTCACAATAAAAAATTCCAAGCATTCTACAAATTTTTTGCTTCAATTTTGGTTTTCTTCGTGATTTTACAGGATATTTGAAGGCCACATATATAATGTCGTTAATTTATTGCAAAAATCATTCACGACAATCAATTCTAAATCGAAATTGCAAATACGAGCTCAAAGTCAGGTAATATTAGATTATTTTGAAAATCGAAATTTCTGAAAATCTTAAGAAATTTACAGATGAAAATTTGATGTTGTTAGATAATTTGCTGCAAAAATGGCGACATGCAATTTTAATTTAGTTAATTTTTTGAGGTTTAGTGCTCAAATTTCTATGAATTTTGGTGAGTATGCGAACAAATTTATGTGAATTGAGTAAATTATAATGTTTATTTTTGTACGATTGTATGTATATGATTTTTGGATAGTTTAGCTCGTATTTTATAGTAGTATTTTTGTAAGAGATATTGTGATTGTATTCTCAGTTTAGATATAAGGCTTAACTAACAAATTTCAACTGTTCTAGTCGATTGAAATCCTAATACTTATTGCTTGAGCAGGGCAGACCTAAAACTTTTAAATGACCTGAATTAGTCAACTACATCTCAAGTACACAAATCCGTTTTAAAAGTAGATTAATTCTTTGTCATATATGCTCCTATATATGCATTAATTTGTTCCTGGCCAAATATGCATATATTCGCTTCCTTATTTTATTTTTTTGAATCAATCAAGCTTTTATTGATTTGGCTTAGAAAACTAGTAAAAGTAAATCAATTTGGCTTAGAAAATTAATTTTCATACAACACGAAATGCTCAAATTGTTAAATTATTGGCAATGCTCTTATATAATGAAGCTGGAAAATTGACTTTTTTTGTTAGCATTACTGCACATGAAATCAAGTTCAAATCCTTCAACTATCTTTTCCCTAATGCACACCATACGAAGATGGATTATGGGTATGTTTAGTTTGTCTAAGAAAGTTTGTTGTTCATATTATTATTTTTTCCAATTAGCTGTTGGCATTTCATGTTATAGTTTAGCTTAGTTTCTTTGATTATGTTGTCAAATCCATTTGTTGATTTAGTTTTGAGGGATGATGAGTTAGCTGATTATTTAGCTTTCGTTTCCTGGGGTCATGCCTCATGAATGATTTCTCAAATCGCCCACTTCTGCATATCTTGAAGTCACAATTGCAGTTGATTATTGGTGTATAGTTGATGTCTTTTCATGAATCCCTACCGTTTCTCTGGAAATGTTTACTCAAGCTGGAATTTCTCTGATTATGCATTTGAGATGTGGATTTAGCTAAAGGATAGTTCAGTTAGGTCTGATCTTCATCAAACTCCTTAGATTAAATACACATATGTGTTTAGGCTGTGATCTCTGTATCACTTTTCCGCCATATTGCTCTAGTCTGTAGGAGTTATGGCGATACAAAGGAGGATTTGGTTCATTGAGTGGCCAACTGGCCACTGACTAAGGATGAGCTCATTATTCCTTTTTTAAGTCAAAATTAATTAAAAGAGCTTGTGACAAGGGGTGCTATTAAGATGGTTGCTGCTGCTTAATTCTTCTCTTTAGTACATCTGTTGTTATGGTTACCATGGGCAGCTAGTTTTGGTTATCATCTTGTAGGATAGTATTTAACACCTTTCTTTGAGGCAAAATACTTAAGAACTTAGCCTTTGAAAATTATTTTTTGTTTCGATTGTTGACCCTTCTATATGCTCAGTGTGTATTTATATTAGGAACACTTTAAAGTGAATAAAAAAGACTTTAAATTAAACCTATGAGCTCAAGTGGTAGAGCACTATGCGGATAGAGGTGTAGGTTCGATTCCTACATAGGTTATCTTAAAAAGTAAATTATTCAAAATACCTCAAAAGTAAATCAAAATCTTTCAAAAGTAGAAAAACTAAAAAAAAAAAGTAAATTAATATATGTCAAAAGTAAATAAATAATAATTGAAAAACTAGAAAAACTAAAAATCATAATTACCCTTAAGTAAATAAATAATGCTAAAAAGTAAATCAAGGTATCATTGAAGTAAATCAAATTAGCTCTAAAGTATATCAATAATAAATTATCTTGAAATGATAAATGACTATGGAAACTTTGTTATAGCACAAAAACTTCGAGTCATTGACTTTCATATCCTTACAAGATGAGTCAAATTATAAGAAACAGATATATTGAGTTCGATATGTTGTAGAGGTTTTCAAATTAAAAGTAAATGAAACTATATCAAAAGTAAACAAAAAAAAGAAGAAATCTAATAAAACATTACGAATTCTGATCTTCAGATTACACACATAAACCTACGTGAGATTCAAACTTACATCTTTTGTGCACTTGCACAATGCTCCCTATTGAGCTAGTAGGCTATTATAGAGTAAGAATGATTCGTCGACACAACCAATCGTTTTTAGTTTCTTTATAAAGGAAATAACAAAAGTAAATATAATATACTCAAAAGTAAATAAGAAAAGCTTAATCACAAAAACTGCACCTCCTTCCAACCATATTCGCTTCACTCCTAATCTACGTGCCTGAACCTTGCTCTGCTGCATATTCAGTTTCCAACCTTCCAAAGATAGCTACTACTCATGAGGCATAATGTAATAAAATGCAATCAAAATATTCATCATTATCAAAAAGGAAGCAAATTAATCACAATTATACTAACCAATAAATTATAGATACTAGTTAAGAAGAACATTCATGCTCTTTATGTCCTTGTGAACATATGGTGGGCTTGTATATCTATGTAGGTAGTTCAGTCCTATGGTGACATCCCAAGCCACATGCATTCTTTGTCCCCAACTCAAGGTTTTCTTATCGGGGCTGTCTTAGTAAATCCAATTACTCAAAGGTCTGTTACCTGCATATTCATAGACAAAGTACCAAATTCCATCCTGAAAGCAAACCCCCAACAATCTGATGAAATTTAAATAGGTGATCTTGTTTAGTACATTAATCTCTTTTCTTACATCTCCATCCATCTTCTAGATTACCACCTGATTGCCATTTACATTTCCCTTATACACCGATCCCCTTGATCCAATGATCAGTACTGAAATTCGCTATCGCTGCCTGCAGGTCCTTGAAACTGTATACTTTCAGGGAAGCTGTTTTCCCTTATACACCGATCCCTTGATCTAATGATCAATACACAGGCTGCACTCTTGCTCAAAGCAGCTTCTTGTTTCGCTTAACTCTAAGAATTCCTGAGCAAAGCATTTACAAATATGGCACTATCAATTCAAAAGTAAATCAAAATATCTTAAAAACAATACCATAACAACTATACAAAACTAGTTACCATTTGGGTAGATAACTAGGCTAATCACAGTTGTTCAGATTATTTGTAATGCTGAGCGAACTGGAGCTAGCAACCTAGTATAACCATTCATTCCATTAAGTTAGGCATTTCATTGAACACTAAGCATGCAATAAATTAAAGCAATAAAAAAAAACCCAACAACCCGAAACAAAAAATTAAACCAAACACATCCACCAAACAATAACTGACTAGACAATACACTAATTTGAAGTAATCAAAAAATAAAAATTGAAACCCTAGTCCAAGAAACTGTCAAACAAAAACCTAAATCAAGCAAATTAAGCAAAAATTCATTATAATAAAATTACAAATCTATCCAAATGGAAGGCACCAATTGAATCGAAAACTCAAATGAAAATCAGCAAATGCTAATTGAATTAAAAACGCAAGTCTTAATTGAATTAAAAAAACAACAAAGAAAAAAAAGGCAAATCCTAATTGAATAAAACCAAAAACGAAAACACCTGATATAATAAAAAATTACAAAATCAAAACACTTACCTCTTTAAAAACAACAACATATAGCTAATAGAAAAACTTGATACACCAAATCGAAGTTTTGAGACGCTAAATCGAAGAAGTGAAATCGTAGCAGAGAGAATTCAAGAGAAAAGAGAAAAATCATGAAGAAGAGAGAGAAAGTGAAAAAAAACGCTGGAGGTAGTCACTGAAAATATAAAATTTACTAATTTGCCATTAATGAAGCGGGTGGAATCTCGGCCGTTAGATTAAGCGCGATCAACGGTCCAGATGAGTTCCTAGTTCCTATTATAGACCTAGGTTCTCACATGATCTTGATTTTTACATATGTGAGAACTCATCCCATATGTGAGAACAAATCTCAACCATTAAATTGTATTAAATCCAATGGTTGTGATTAATCACATAAACCTCCTAAAAACTACGCCTAACTGTCTTCTCTCTCTCTCCACCCAGTTAACTGACTTCTCTCTCCACCACGATGCTTCATCAATGGCGTCTAATTAATAACTTCATCTTCATTCAACTATCTCTTATTCTCTATGCGCTGTTTTACCGTCGTTTATTGCAATCATTGAGATGCTTAGTAACGTTGTTTCTCATTGCTTCGAATTGGATCCTCCAAGTAATCATAAGCAAGTTCACACCTACCTCGCTCGCCTTGCTCGATTTTAGTAATTGCAATTGCTGCTACAAAATCGAATTCGCCGGGTTATTGAATTTATTATTATGATAATTTTCGAATTTACTCTTGAATTTTTGTTGAAGTTATTGAATTTCATGTTTTGATGATTTTCGAATTTACTTTTGATTTAGAATTTTCATTAAAATTATCGAATTACATGTTAATTTTCAAATTGCATTAATCATTAAATTGCATGTTTAATTGCATCAATTAATAATTACAATTGCAATCGCTGCTACAAAATCGAATTCGCCAGGTAGCAGTTTGTTTTCTTCAATTTTACTCTCTAAATTGCTGATTTGTTTGATTTTAATAATTTGATTGCCGATTTTTGCTTCAATTTAATACTCTTACAATGTTCTTATTTCCGAATGATATTATTATGCTCCTATGTTATTAAGTTCTTATTTGCAATCAAATTTAAAATGAGCAAATAAATTGAAAATGAGCAAACCTAAATATGTGTAATAATATAGAAAAAATATAATGAGCAAATATAATTAAAATGAGAAAATACAAAAAAAAAAAATGAGCAAATGAGGAAAATAATTTGGTGATGGTGGTGGTGGTGGTAGGGTGCAGGGGACAGCGGCGGCAGCAGGGGAGTGAGAGTGAGACAGGTTGTGGTGGTGATGGTGGTGGTGGTAGGGTGCACGGGCAGGGAAGGGGCGGAGGAAGGAGAGAGAGTTTGGTGGTGGTGGTGATTGTACGGTGTAAGGAAGAGGGTGAGAAATGGCATTCAGCTCATTATCATGAGTTGCAGAAGTAGTGAAAGAGGTAGTTGTAGCTAATGCTAATGCTAATGCTAATGCCAGAATTAGAAGAGAGAGGGAGTGTCCATATTATTGTGAAGAAAAAAGAGTAGAGAGAAAGAAAGTGGAGGGAATTTGTGGATTAGAGTATCATTGTTGCGTTCTTGTTGCTGTTGCTAGGATAGTTTGTTTTACTAGGGTTGTGCTTCCTAAATACTTATTTTCTCATTTGTCAAATGAGCATTGAGTTATTTGCTCATTTGACAAAAAATCAAATAATTTTTTGCTTATTTCACAAATGAGCATTGAGTTTCTTGGTCTTGCTTTACCCCCTTTTTCTTGGTCTGTTTCCTTCACACCAACCACACTTTCTTCTTCCACTTCCCTGCACAAACCTATCCCCCCCTGCCCCCTCATATTTCTGCTTGCAGTTCTAACTTTAGATTCTGAAATTATTGTGTGTGTGTGTGTGTGTGAGTGAGTGAGTGATTGTAAGAGTCTATGTATAAGTGTGTGTGTTTGCTTCTGACCGTGTACATTCTTATTTAAGAATCTGATTTCAGTTCTAATTATTGCGAGTCTGTGTGTAAGTGTGTTTAAGTGGGTGCATATTCACTTGTTACTATTTTGTGGAATTGTTAATGACTTGTTATTTCTATTATGTTTAATGACAGAAATGATGAAGAACAACGAACAACTTGAGAGCCATTCTAGTACCATCACAAATGTGCCAACTACTCTTACAATAGTAGTTCTTTCTTCTAAAGTAGCACCTTTGCTCACTCCCGGAGGAACAAAAGAATGACTTCCAATATGCCCTAATGAGTTGAAACCAGCTATAGGGATGAAGTTTAATAATCTTGAAGAGGGCCTTGAATTTTATAAAAGTTACGCATTTGCTGCTGGATTCAACACAAGAAAGTCTACAACTAAAAGACAAAGAAGAAGCAAAGAATTGAAATCACAGTATATCTTATGCAATAAGGATACAAAGAGAAAAGAAAGGCTACTATTGAAAAAGATTTAAATAACAAGGAAGGAGAAAGCAATGAAGAAAAAGCTTCAATCAAAAGGAAGAGACTCGTTACTCGTGTTGGGTGCAAGGCACACATTGTCATAAAGCATTGGGATGATAACAAATTCATAGTGTCACAATTTCATGAGGGACATACTCATACACTTTATACACCTAGTTGCAATCTCTTCCAAAAAGAAAGAACGAAAATGAACATATTGCACAAAAAAATAATTGTGAATAATTCTAAGGTAACATTTTCAAAGTCTTTTACGTTTCATGAATTCTCTATATGTTCTAATAAAAGCTGTTTGCTCATTTGACAAATGAGCAAATAATTGAAAAATGAGCATTGAATTGTTTGTTTGAAAAATGAGCAAATAATTGACAAATGAGCAAATAATTGAAAAATGAGCAAATAATTGAAAAATAATTATTTGCTCATTTGAATTGTTTGTTTATTTGAAAAATGAGCATTAAATTGTTTGCTCATTTGAAAAATGAGCATTAAATTGTTCAAATGAGCAAGCAAATAATTAGATGAGCATTGAATTGTTTGCTCATTTTAAAAATGAGCATTGAATTATTTGCTCATTTGACAAACTGTTTTGTTCTTTAAATAGGTGAATATTGGTCCCATGACAACTTTTCGAATGATGAAGGAAATTGTTGGAGGATATGATAACATTGGTGCATCTAAGCAAGATTTCAAAAACTTTCATAGAGATTTAAAAGCATACATTCAAGGAAGCGATGCTCAAATGTTCGTGGATAACTTTACCAACAAAAAGCTAATGTGGAGCGCTTTTTTCTTTGATTTTGAGATGAATGAAGATTATTGCCTTTGTAGAGCATTTTGGGCAGAACCCATTTGTAAAAAGAGTTATGCTCTATTTGGTGATATGGTATCTTTTGATACCACATACCAAACCAATAGGTAATTCATAATAATCACAATTCATTTTTATGTTATAACTATGGTTTAACTTAATGACTTTGTTTTAAATGAACTTAGTATAATTATTTGCTTACTTCAATGTGAAAAGTGAATATCCCCATAAGAGTATGTATATGGGCATATGGACATTGAATTGCATGTTCATTTGACAAATGAGTATTGAAATTATTTGGTCATTTGACAAATGAGCATTGAAATTATTTGATCATTTGACAAATGAGCAAAGAATTGTTTGCTTATTTCACAAATGAGCATTGAGTTATTTGCTCATTTGACAAATGAGCATTCAATTTTTTTCTCATTTGACAAAAGACCAAAGAATTATTTGCTTATTTCACAAATGAGGACACTAGCCTAGTATCATAGCTGCAGAGTTTGTGCCCAGTTAATGGTGATGGGAACAAGACAACTGCTCTCGACCAGAACTCGGCAGACTTATTTGACAACCATTACTTTAAACATTTGCTAAACAATAAGGGCATTCTTCTATCAAACCAAGAGTTGTATTCCAGCAATTTGAGAGATCCAAAAATGGGCAAGATATGGGTCAGTAGCTTATGTGTTTTAAGGACCTTCTATCAAATTACCCAGAGTGTGTAAAATTCTTAGATAGTTTGGCTCTATTTATTTGACTAATCTTGTAACTTATCTAACACGAACTTATAAGATCTTAACTTAAGTATTTGCTCATTTGAATTATTGAATCACAAGACAAAAAAGGTATCAACGTATATGCTCATTTGACAAATAAGCAAATAACTAAGTATTTTAGTATTTGCAACTATCAAAGCATGGAGGGTTCAAATACCTTAAATAAAGGACATTTATAATACTTATATGAGAGGAACATAACCAAATTTATAATACTCATATGAGAGGAACATGGCCTGTAAGTTGCAACAACAAGCATGGAATGTGAAAGACTTACATTATTTTTCTTTAAACCTGAATTCCACTTTTGCAAACTCATATGTGTTTCCATATGCCTCATCATTGCAACTCCACAATGCAAATGATCTGATCATCATCTGAAGACTTTCAGGGTAAATCAATCACTACATACTCCATAGACATGATCTCTTTCACAAAGCAACACTTTGTATAGTTCCTTCACCATCCATGAAATATGAAAATCCGCTATTCTGAAAATGAACAAATAAATTAAAATAAAAATAAAAACAGGCAGAATAAATATAGTCAGAACAAATATAGGCAGAACAAGACCAAGATAAACAACTAAACTCTAATCATTTTTCTAAAATAATTAAACAAAATCTTGAGCCATACCAGATTTTTAAGAAATTTCTTGTTCTCTCTAGAGCCTTCACTATAATCAATAACCTCCATTGTACCACGCTCTGTGGTGGTGTTAAAAATACCAAAAAATAATGATCTTTTTCAAATACTGGGAAAAAGAAAAGCTCAATATCTTTCTTTGGGATGACTGTTTTGCTGAATTCCGACTCCACAATATCACAAAACATTTTATTCCTTTGTAGAACACGATCAGTTTCGTATTGAAAAAGGCATTCCTAAAAAAATATATAATGAAAAATACATAAACAAGATGAATATAAATGAAAAGAGTAAATATGAAATGAGCAAAGTGAATATGAAATGAGAAAAGTCATATAAAATGAGTAAATTGAAATTTATTTGACAAATGAGCACTGAAGGTTTTGCTCATTTGACAAATGAGCAAAAAATTAACTGCTCATTTGACAAATGAGCAAAAAATAAGTATTTATTTTCAATGAATGAGCAAGAATAGTTTGACAAATGAGCATTGAATAGTTTGCTCATTTGGCAAATAAGCAAAGAACTAATATTAGTTTTTGGAAATACAAACTACATCTACATTCAAATATAAAAAATCATATGAAATGAGCAAAGTGAATATGAACAAAATAAAATAAAATAAAATGAAAGAGTTGAACTTACACTTGCAGTAAGATTGAAAAAGAAACGTCCACTAGAATTGATATTTCTATATTGCTCATTATAATTCAGAATAGTATACCATGCATTAATGATTTCGCCATGAATTTTGTTCTGATTTTTTAGCATTTCAAGTTGAAATATCATTACTTCAATACCAGTATCACCCTCGCATGAAAACCCTGGATCACTACATATAAGATTTAGGGAAGTTAATATGATTTCAATCGAAGGTATGTAAAATGAGAATACAGAGCAGGACTCGTTTTAAGAAAGAAACATAAGGTCAATTGCCAATTTCCAGAGGGGTACTTCAAAATGCAAGAGGCTACTGAAATTTCCATCACCCTTTACTCTAAAATGTATCTCTTAAAATAGGTCTAACTCAGTATTTCTAAATAAGAAAATATTGCTCATTTTGAAAATGAGCAAAATTTAGACAAATCAAGATAAACAATTATATGACTTCAAAAATACTTGCAAACGATTTTTCTTCTCATGAAAAACTGAATCCATAACACCTTTCTGAACTGCTATTAATGGTGTGTAAATGTTGATAATCCGAGACTTAAAAGGAGATCTAATTTGCAACGATGGTTGCATTTTACACTTCTTCTTTGGAATAGAACTCTCCTTTTCAGTATCTCCTTTTCTCTTAAGAACAATTGGATCTTCTTGAGCATTCAAAGCATCAGCAATAGCAGATATAGAAGCTATTGCAGAAGCACCAACTTGTGCACTGACAAGAGCAACTACAGGTTCATTAGTAGGTAAAATGTTAGGGGACTTCTCTTGAGAATCAGTTTCTTGAGAAGAGATTCCTAAACTGAATGTAGGAGTTCCAGATCCTTTGGCAACTGAACTTCTTAAACTATATCTGATATTTGAGTCTCTAAGTTTTTTAAACACATGGTCAGCAGCCCTAGGCTCTATGACAACGGATGGAGATCCAACATCAGCGATACCACTTGCTATGTGAACACATTCAGCAGCAATCTTAGTAACATCAATGGGTTCTGACTCATTTAGATGAACAACCCTTGCATTGATTGTAGATTCAACATGCTTGTCGTTGCCTGAAATCTTTGAAAACCTATCCCAACCTTCAATTACTGCCGGATCTTGCCAATACTGTTCATCTTGGCTAAATGAAAGAGGATTATCTTCAGTCAAAGTTTTGGATCTCATCTTATGCTCATCACAAATGCTCATGGCATCTTCCTTCAACTTTTGCATCTTCTCGTTGTTTGGAAAATACTTGACGGCAGCTTCATGTTTTTTACTGAAATCCATGTATGCCAAGACTAGGTTTGTAGATGCTATTGCAAGATCCATAAGGCATTTCTGTAAAAAAAAAAAAAAAGAAAAAATAAAGATGAATATAAATGAAAAGAGTATATATGAAATAAGCAAAGTGAATATGAAATGAGCAAAGTGGATATGAAATGAGCAAAGTCATATAAAAATGAGCAAATTAAACTTTATATGAGCACTGAAGTTTTTGCTAATTTGACAAATGAGCAAAAAATTAATTGCTCATTTAGGAGGTCCATTGAAGCTATTCCAAGATCCATAAGGCGTTTCTAGAAAAAACATAAAGTGAGCAAACTGAATATCAAATGATCAAAATCATATGAAATGAGCAAAATTGATTCAGATTCTGATTTAAAATCATAAGGTGTTACTCTGTACTTTGTACTAGTGAACGAAAGATACAAGGCTAGGGTTGTTGCTATTGGGTATCAAAAAGTGGAAGGGCAGGATTTCAGTCAGACATTCTCTGCTGTTGCAAAGCTATCTACTGTTGGTTTGTTATTGCCATTGCTACTATTAAAAGTTGGTCTTTATGTCAGCTAGAAGCTAATAATGCCTTTAATTTCTTCATAGGTATGAGAAGGCCACTACTGGTCATGTTTGCAGACTTGAAAGGTCCATTTATGGACTCAAGCAGGCTTAAAGACAATGGAATAAAAAGTTGAGTAAAATTTTGAAGTGTCTTGGTTTTTAGCAGTCAAATAAAACAAGAGTATTATCTATTCACTAGAATGTTAGAGGGTGAATTTTTAGTGATTTTGGTTTATGTTGATGACATGTTGTTTCTAGCACTTCTGTTACTCAAATTGATGCAATCAAGATAACTTTGGATCAAGCTTTCACTATTAAAGATCTAGGGGAGTTAAAGTATTTTCTAGGAATTAAAATTTCTAGAAATGCTAAAGGTACTTTTCTTTCACAAAGGAAGTTCATCAAAGATATAATCACTGATCAGGTATGGAAAATTGCACTTCTGCTTATGTGTCTTCTGGCTTAAAATTGTGGAGAACTACTTGGTGAATTTGATTTTTTACATACATAAGATTATTAGTTGGAAAATTGATTCATATAAAATCATAAGGCGTTACTCTGTACTCTGTACTCAAATATACTCCTAAATTGTGTGTGTTTGTGTGTGTGTTTAAGGGGTGGGGAAGGGTGGGAGTGCAGAATTAGAAGGGATCAATACTCTTGTTCAAACAATGTCTAAAAATGAGCAAAGAATTAATATTAGTTTCCAGAAAACTCATATAAATACCTTCTTTGGATCTTGTTAAGTTTCTTCTTTTTTTGTACGAATTGGATAAGATTGTTCCTAAAATCAAGCAAAAACAAAACAAAAAAAAAAGGTAGAACAACTTGAAAGCAAATATCCTAACAAATATAAACCAAGCTTTCTTATAAGGCATAACTAATTTTAAAATTTGCTCATCTGTCAAATGAGCAAAAAATTATTTGATCATTTCAAAAATGAGCAAGTAATTGCTTACTCATTAGCAAATGAGCAAAAACTAGTTGGTCATTTCCATAAAGAACAAAGAATATTACAATACATATGATTACCTTATTGGCACCTACTTGAGTTTCCACTTCAGAAGGAATGAATTTTTCCTAAATAAAAAACAAAAAAGTTAAAAATGTAGAATAAAAAGGAAAAGAATAAAAAAAAAATTATAGTTAAGCACCATTTTAGGTTGTGTCATGCTAGAAGAACCAGCATCAAGCTTTTTAACACGAAT